AGCCTTCTGGATGGAAGGTGAAACGTTTCAGCACAAAAAAAAAAATATCCAGATGACCTGACTCGTTGGATTGTATACCTGGATTATTGAGCATGGACTTTGTTGGTTAATGGAGGTGTTATTATTATAAAGTATCATAAGTTTTGTACTTGTTTTGCCCTTTACTCTAGCAAAACAAGATTTTACTGCTTTTTGTACTTCACATTTAACATAAAAGGCATTTTTAGTAAAATGATGTAGCAGACCCCTTCCCTTGTACCCAGTGTTGCTTTGTGCTCTAGAAACCACCCAACAATTGAGCCATTGTCCTGTTTTCTTTTCCACGTCTGATTTCGTCATCATAAACTATGATCATGTGTTAAAAATGTCAATTATTGATCAGATATGGTAAATAATATCAAAGAAAACAAGCAACGAACGTTTTGAGGGAGCAGTGTAGAAATGTTCTTTATTTATGTTTTGAATTGTCATAAATGTTACGAAAACATTCTTTACAAGCTGTTCCATGAACAATGAGCTCTACCCGATAAAGAATTAGTCTTTCTATGAATTATTAGTTGTTTATTTACTTTATACTCAGTTTTTTGTCCTACGTGTGGCCTGACTCACCAGGACTGAGACGATCCTTCTATGCAGACGATCATCTGATTTATTTGACTTCCTTCCAGCAGCCCTCTGTTTGTTTGTGTGCTTCTAATTGTTTGTTTGTTTGTTTGACTACGTGATCCGGTGACTTTTCCCACAGTTGTCACAGCTGTCAGCTAATGATGTATCGACCTCATGATAAGATAAACAGATTTTCAGACACGCTGTACAAAAAAAACTGTAGGCGTAAACTCTGTCTCTAACCCTGACCGGATTCACTTTCTGAGTACTCGTTTCTCAAATGTTTTTAGAGAAGGGTTTATTTTGGGACGTTTGCTGACAGAGATCGTTTGCACTAAATATCTTAAACTGACATTCAAGTCAAGACTCTTTCTTTTTGTCAATAAGCTGATTTCACCACCTCATCCATCCATTTTCTTTTACCTGCTTCTTCTTTCTATGTTGCGAGGAACTGGTCACTAACCAGAAGTCTCTGTGTGAGAGGCGGGGGACATCCTGGACGGATCCCAGGTCCATCACAGGGACACATGGAGACAAACGAGACAACCACTCAGACACTCACATAGGGACAATTTAGAGTTACCAATTAACCGAACACGCATATCCGAGGGAGGAAACCGGAGTACTCAGTGAAACCACGAGTGCACGAGGAGAACATGCAAACTCCATTCAGAAAGGTCTTCGGCCAGGAGGCAAACCTGCAACCTTTTCTCTGAGAGCTACAACCACTGTTCCACTGTGCCACTCCAACCTCAACCAACAAGCACATAAAATGGTCAAGACTTTAGTTCCACATGCCACCATAAGAAGGGGGGGCGTATTTGACTGTAACACATGATCAAATGCACTCAGTCATCTTTTACTTTTGTTGTGTCTGCTGCCATTTTTTACTGTGGCTTACACAAAATATTTAACCTCAGGTAAATTTCCATCCTTCTATCAATTTCTTTTCTTTCCTTTGCTTTTTCGTGCCTGGTTGCGGGGTGCCGGTGCCGATCTCCACGGCAGTAAAATATGCAACTATCTGCACATCAGTGGTACCAGCAGGCCTGGTTGTCTGTAGCATTCCTCTCTGTCACTTCCACGTTGTTTCACAGAACAAAGTGTTGCCCAACTGCAGTCAGCTGATAAATATCCCTGTTCGTACATTTCTGGCATTTAACTGTGACACGTCTGTTTGCAAGATTGATGGTTTTTCCTCCACAGCGTCTAAATATGGCACCATGAACTCACTGAAGGAAACGATAGTTCAACAAGTTCACTGCAGAGAACCGAAGGTGACGCAGTTCTTCTGTCGACCACTTGTTGGTGCCAGAAGCTAGCTAGGATGCTAACATTAAAGTCATTTCACTGAGCGAGGGATCAAAGACTTGTCCGGTTTAAAACATAACTGAACGACTTTTCTGTGAAGTACAATTGGTAAGACCGTTCCACTGCTGAACAACCGTTCTCACCGTAGAACCATGGACTCCAAATTCTTCTTTAACTTTTCCCAGATTGATGGGCTTCAACTGTTGCTTCTCTAAGGTCATTGCTGATGTCTTTCCAGCTTGGTCACACTGATAATAATCACTTAAGACGTTTGATCAGCCGCACCTGGATAAAACTTTCCCTTCTTAATCCTTTACACGCAGCCAGTATGGACTTTGTTTCTTTGACATTTTAATGACAAGTAGAATAAAAAAAATGACAAACACAAGTTTATTGGACATGAAACAAACGTGCTCAGCTATAACCCAATGACGGATCAATAAAACAAACACAAGTCACAGTCGGACAGTGTCGGTAACTCAAACACGTATCTGCCGTAGCATCCACGTGTGGACGACTGTTCATCTGAAGTGCGTTCATGC